CCTTTAAGATTCTCTGTCTTTAATTTTTGGCATTTTAATTATGATGTGTCTGGGCATGGGTCTGTTTGGGTCCTTCTTGTTTGGGTTCTCTGTGCCTCCTGAACTGATGTAACTGTTTCCTTTACCAGGTTAAGGAAGTTTTCTACCATTATTTCTTCAAACACCTTCTTTATTCCTTTCTCCCTTTCTGCCTCTCCTGACATACCTACTATTCTAATATTGTTATATTTCACATTGTCCCACAGCTCCCTTAAGCTGTCCTCCTGTTTTTGTTTTTTCTTTTTGATTCTCTAATTGAGTGATATTTTCAACTGTCTTCTAGTTCACTGATTCAATCCTCAGCTTCCACTAATCTGCTGTGTATTCCTTCCAATGTTCTTTATTTGTGTTATGTCATTCTTTATCTCAGACTGTTCTTTTTTCATAATTACTATATGTTTTTTCATACTGTTGAGCATTTTTAACATCATTACTCAACTCTGTTTCAGATACATTTCTTATCTCTGATTCATTTATTTCTTCTGGAAAATTCTCTAGTTCTTACATTTGGGGGTTGTTTCTTTGTTTCCTCATTTTGGTTGTCTGTTTGGGTTTGCGATCCCCTGTCTATAGACCAGGGGTTCTCAAACTTTTTAAACAGGGGGCCAGTTCACTGTCCCTCAGACCGTTGGAGGGCCTGACTATAGTTTAAAAAAAAACTATGAACAAATTCCTATGCACACTGCACATATCTTATTTTGAAGTAAAAAAACAAAACGGGAACAAATACAATATTTGTATTTGCATGTGGCCTGAGGGCCGTAGTTTGAGGACCCCTGCTATAGACTAATAGGATTCCAACTTGAATTGCCCCCAGGGAATCGTCCTCAGATGTGGCCAGAGTTTTTTCAACAGGGTGGGGCAGTTGCTCCTGCCTGGAGGCTAATCATTACTTTTAATCTCTTAAGTGGCCTCAGGGCAAGGTGCTTTCGAATAAATGTCAACTGTCTTCCCCCCAGGCAAGGCAGATGTCTATGTGGGAAAGATGTCCTGCACTGTGTGAGGGAATGACTCAGCCCAGGAAACTTGGGATATCTGCCTTCTGGGCTCTATTCCCCAAGTCCCCAGTCCTGGGTTCTGCTCTCACCGCTCCAGCAGTCCACTTCACCCTCCCTCTGCCAGAGCACAAGGTGGGTGGCTCCACAGGGAATTTTTGTGCATTGGCCCTTTAAGAGGATGCCTGAACTTTCAGCTGCCACTCCCTGGCAGATAGCACTCCACTGCTTTTCACAGCTAGATGTTATGTGGGTACCCTCCTCAGTTTGGTGCTCTCTGCTGGGGAGCCCAGCTTCGGGATTAAATCCCAGAGTTCTCAGTGGCACCATCCCACAGCTGAGATATCTCTTGGGGACTTCAGTTGCCGTCAGTGGGTGCCCAGCCAGTCCTTTCGCGCCTCCGCCCCTCCTACCAGTCTCTATTCAGTCCTTGGGTATCAGGGTTCTCTCCTATGAGTTTTCCGTTGATTATTCAGGAAGCCTTTTCATATTTCAATTGTAATTCCAGCTTGTTCCTAGGAGCAGGTCCATGCAGCATCCTCCTACTCTGCCGCCATTTTTAAGCTAAACTAGCTTGTCTTTTAAAATGACAAACATCTCACACTGGCTTATAAATAAGAGTTACAATAAAATCCAGCACAGCTATCATTTCTGCCAATCTGAAAGGAAAAGTAGATCAATAAAATGGGCCAAGAAATGCACTGGAATTAAAATGAGTATAGCAGGATTGTGAGGATAACAAACAAGAAAACAGGGATGAGAAGACTGTTTAGGCCTCAATGCTACTGAGTAAGAGGAATCCATGGTATAATTTGTTCTAGATACCTAAGGTCAATAATTACTACTTTAATTTTTAATTCTTTAATTTTTATTAAAACATTACATAAGGTTTTAAAAATTGCATAGGCTAGATTTATAACAAAAAGCAATAATCAGTGAGATATTATGACCCAAAAACCATTTTTTAAATTATTAATTGATTTTAGAGAGAAGAAGGGAGACAGAAACATCTATCAGTTGCTCCCGTAAGCACCCTGACCAGGAATCAAACCCATCACCTTTGGTGCATAGGACAACACTGCATCCAACTGAGCCCCTTCACTCAGGGCTGATTAATATTTTTAAATCATCATTCAGACAGCAGAAAGGAGAAGAGAGCTGGGTGGCGGGAACAGGAAGTACAATCAGGAGGCTATTGGAGAAATTTAAGAGAGATGAAGGTGGCTTAGCCAAGGGCAGTAGTAAAGCAGACAGATTATACCACTTTTGTAGTAAGTATAATTTTATGAAACTTTTGTTTCAGATATCTGTATACTTATGGGTCCTAATATAAAATGTCTCCAATTATAGGTCACAGCAAAATAGTTTGAGAAACCCTGCCCTAGGACAGCAATTTTCCACCAGTGTGCTGCAAGAATTTTTAAACATACAATACCTGACTGTTTAGTCAAGGGCACTGATCTCTTTTCACTTAGACCAGTGGTCGGCTAACTCATTAGTCAACAGAGCCAAATATCAACAGTACGAGGGTTGAAATTTCTTTTGAGAGCCAAATTTTTTAAACTTAAACTATATAGGTAGGTACATTGTTATTAATTAGGGTACTCCTAAGCTGGCCTTTGCTAAAAACACCCTCAATCTGATTGAGGTACGTTCGCTGAGGTCGACCCCTTCCAACTCTCCCATCCACACTCGTCTTGTATACTTGTCTATCTCCTTTCCGAAAACCGACTTCTGCGCATGGGCAACGAAGTTTCAATCACACTGTACGTGCGCGCCTGCACGTGGTATTTTGTGGAAGAGCCACACTCAAGGGGCCAAAGAGCCGCATGTGGCTCAAGAGCCGTGGTTTGCCAACCACTGCCTTAGACTATCAAATTAAAAAAAGACAATAGCCAACACAACAATAGGTTCGGTTCCGGTCAAGGGCATGTACCTTGGTTGCGGGCACATCCCCAGTGGGAGGTGTGTAGGAGGCAGCTGATCGATGTTTCTAGCTCTCTATCCCTCTCCCTTCCTCTCTGTAAAAAAATCAATAAAATATATTTTTTTAAAAAAATGTTGAAAATCACTGCCCTAGGAAGCTGAGAATACTTATGTTCCCTTTGTTGAAGTCCTAAATTAAGTTCAAGTGAAACAAGCTACAACAAGTTATAATTACATACTAAATATAATCTTATTAATCTGCCAAAAGAATACCATTTGGTCTTCAAAAAGAAGAAAAAGAAAGAACAGTACAAGCAGTATTCAAAAATCACTGGAATGCCAGGCACAAATTATGTTACGTCTGCCAACCAGGAGATGCACAAATTACTAAAGAAATATAATACCAATTTTTTTAAACTACTAAACCATTCAACTAATGGTTTAAATCATTCAACTAATACTAATTTTAGAAATTTAACACTACTAACACATATTCATAATGGCAATGTTTTCAGCATTTTCAGGAAAATACCTTACTCTCCCAAATGAGAAAACATGGCTTAATTCTCCTTGAAGAATTCAGAGATTATATACTACAGGTTGAGAACCACTGCTCTAGAAGGACATCAGCTGTGTTGCTGTAACAACCTGTCCTCTGGAGAAGTCCATCTGGTAAGAAACTGAGGCCTCCAGCCAAGAAAGAGTGAGGAATTGAGGCCCTCTGCCAACAGCCATATGAGTGAGCCATCTTGGAAGTAAATCCTCCATCCCCAGTCAAGCCTTCAGATGACCACAGACCCAACAGTCTTTATGAATGCAACCTCATGAGCCAGTATCACTCAGTGAAGATGCTCCCAGATTCTTGAGCCACAGAAACTGTGTGAGATAATGTTCAGTATTATTTTTAAAGCTGCCAAGTTTTAGAATAACTTGTTTTGCTAAAATAGGTAACTCATACACCAATAAAACTTGTAAAAGCTCAAGTGTAGTTCAGAATATCATTTATCTTATTTACTAAGCATCTGTACCGAGCACAATTCTCCAAATTAGCAAATTTCTAATCTACATATATCCACAGGTAAATAACCAGATATATGATTTCTAATGAAGTGAACAGGAAACCAAGAATAATGCAAAAGCTTTTATTGAGAGGCCTGAGGCATTATAGAATAAAGTCTTCCAAGGAAAAAACACACATAACTTTGAATAAAAGCTGAAGCTCTTTTTTTCAAGAAAGGCTGCATTTTTTAAAAAGTGGTGAAAGAATGGAATAAAAATGACAAAAGAGTGATATGTTTGTCTTGTAATAAGAAACTAATATATAAAAATGAGGGGAGCACAGCCGATGTGGCTCAGTGGTTGAGCATCAACGCAGGAACCAAGAGTCGGGGTTCAATTTCTAGTCAGGGCACATGCCCAGGTTGCAGGCTCCATCCCCAGTAGGGGGCATGCAGGAGGCAGCTGATCAATGATATTTCTCTCTCATCAATATTTCTCTCTCTATCCCTTTCCCTTCCTCTCTCTCTAAAAATCAATTTAAAAAAACACATTTTAAAAAATAAAATGAAATCGTTTTTTAAAAAAGAGGGAAAAGAGGACATGCAATAGACAGAGTGGTGGGAATTTTGTAGGAAGATTAAATTTGATGCAGAACTTAACAAAATTTGTGGATGACTTTAAAGAAAGTTAAAAAGTGTTTACAAGGGATCTTTTTGAGGTGCTGAAAATGAAACAGTGGAGTGTGGCAACAGTTCTAAGGGTCCTCAAACTTTTTAAACAGGGGGCCAGTTCACTGTCCCTCAGACCGTTGGAGGGCCGGACTATAGTTTAAAAAAAACCTATGAACAAATTCCTATGCACACTGCACATATCTTATTTTGAAGTAAAAAAACAAAATGGGAACAAATACAATATTTGTATATGCATGTGGCCCGTGGGCCGTAGTTTGAGGAACCCTGGGTTACACAATTCTACTATTTAGTAAAAAGTCACTGAACTTTACACTTCAAGTAGACAAATTTTACAGTACATAAATTATACCTCAGTAAAGCAGTGCTGTGTTTTTTTAAAGTGGTATAGGCATCCCTCAGAGATATTGCATGAAGGATTCCAGATATCACATTAATGCAAGTCGTAATCTTTTTGCTGGTGGAGGGTCTTGCCTTCAATTTATAAAACATGTAACATCTGTAAGGTGCAATAAAGTGAAGCGCAATTAAACAAGGTATGTCTGTGTTTATCTGTTCACTGAAGCAAGACAGAAAAATTACATTAGGTTTCTCTGATTAAAAAAATAAAGCAGCCACCCTGGTTGGTGTGGCTCAATTGGTAGGGTGTCAACCCATGCACTGAAAGGTTGCCAGTTCGATTCCCAGTCAGAGCACATGCCCAGGTTTCAGGCTCAATCCCTTAGAGGGCATGCAGGAGGCAGCTAATCAGTTTCACTCTCACATCAATGTTTCTCTCTCTCTCTCTCTCTCTCTCTCTCCCCCCCCTTCCTCCCTCTCCCTCTCCCTCTCCCTCTCTCTCCCTTCCCTCCCTCTCTCTCTAAAAATCAATTTTAAAATCTTAAAAAATAAAAAAAGCAGCCAAGAGGAAAAGTACAGTAATTTATTCAACAGACAAGAAAAGAAAAGAAAATGGAAGTTTTCACAGGTTAAGAAATAGTAATGTTTCCATTTCAGCCCAATACAGGACAGCATTGTGTCTCTGGGTAACTCTGTATATCTTGCTAAGACCACAAAAGCTTACTATCTTAAGAGTAGAAAGACAATAGATTTGGAAACTTTAACTGTAAAATAAGGAGAAGAAACACTTCAACTTAATTTCCTATTTTAAAATAATGTATGGTAATTTCTTTACAAGCATGATGACAACACCCAAAACATTCAAATGGGGGATTTGGGAGTATTTTTGAAGTAGATTAATTTGCATTGGTTCAGGGACTTTCGCAGTTTCTTAAAAACAACAGTACTGCATTTTATTTACTCCACCTGCACTAGAGATCAAGCAAAACTTCACCTATAAACAACTACAATTCACGTTTGTTTTGAACTATGAAAATATTAACCTACTCTGACCTCCCCTGCACCAACTTCAGCAAACCCTGGGTCAAGAGTCTCAACTTCCCAAAACAGCACAGGTGTCTCTAATTTAAGACCTGCTAGTCTCCTCTCTGCCTTTGGCTAAATCAGTAACAAGCCCAGAAAATAAAAACAAAAACCTCTACTAATTCATGTAGGTATTTTCTTTCTTTCTCCATAAAAGAATGTACTAGCAGACACAAATTAAATAACATATACCAATACATAATTCTATTTTCTCTAACTGGCTATAATAAAGGTCAAAATAGTTTAAGATAGTGATATTCGCTTATTTTCCACCTAGACTCGAAAATTTGTAATATCAATGAACTTTATATATTTCAATAAAACAACATATTGTGAACGTTTACAGTACCATGTCTAACCCTTAGTAGGCATTCAAGAAATGTTAGTTCCCTCTCTGTCCTTTCCATTAATTCTTATAGTATTTCCATGAAATATTTCCTGTTTATTATTACCCCAATATTAAGCAGGAGAACAGACCCCGAAAATTCAGGCTGCCTGGTTGTGATAAAGCAGCGGTTCACAACCTGTGGGTCGCGACCCCTTTGGCGGTCGACCGACCCTTTCACAGGGGTCGCCTAAGACCATCCTGCATATCAGATATTTACATTACGATTCATAACAGTAGCAACATTACAGTTATGAAGTAGCAACGAAAATAATTTTATGGTTGGGTCACAACATGAGGAACTGTATTTAAAGGGCCAGAAGGTTGAGAACCACTGTGATAAAGGGATTCGTTTGCAGAAATTAAAATTTAATCTACCTTCTTTGTCTCCCTTCCTAGGAAGTCAATTCCAAGGACCATGTTCCTTCTGCTATATAAATGGCTCATCTGTTTTTCCTTATACATCTACGATTAGATGTAGCAAGAATCCAAAGATTATCATCAACCCATGGAATCCCATGTACAAGTTCATGGGATTCCAGGTTGGAGGTTTGGGGGGAGTACTGTCATGTTGTTGGGGTATTTTTATTTTTATTTTTTTTGCTATCAAGTTCACTCTCCCAGTAATCCAAGTCTCCTGCACCAATAAGCAATGGTGTCTTCACATATCTACAATCATGGAAAACTAGAACTACATGAACTATCACTAGCCCTTACTTTGACACAAAATGCTCTGACAGAAATAAGTTTGCAGAGCTGGTGAAGCTGCCATCTATAGCTCTTTTTTTGGACATCTGACACAAGATAGATATATGATCCAACGCTATATCCGGTGTAGTTTTGTTCAGGCTCTGATACTTAAGATAGGAACACAAGCATGTTATGTCAAATTAAACTCCAGTGGTTAGAGATGGACAGATTATGTCATCAGTAATAAAATTTATAGTTGTCAGTGATGGCCTGGCTACTGTCAAGATAGGCCCTTTGTTGCATTTAGCCTACCATTCACAGAAGCTACCGAATTTTAGAATGGCCGGAAGAATTAGTTAGCCTGTCACTTCCCACTACCCCATGCTGGTTTATAAACATAATGACTCCAATACAAGAACTATGCTTTCTAAGGTTTAATCATGGTATGTAAGAGTGTGTGTGTGTGTGTGTGTGTGTGTGTGTGTGTGTAAATTTATGGTTCTGTTCTGTGGTCACCAATATTTTATATTGGTCGGGCTATTTCTTTGACATTTAATACATTCTAACAATATACTAGATGTAGTCCACAATATTAGATAAACCATAGGACCATGATGAGTATTTCCCTAAACAATCAAATCTGATCTCTTCTAGTTCAGTGGAATTGAAAATACTAACAAACAACACCTTGGGCAGGAAAGAGTAAATAAACCCAGGACATACCTTATTTACAATTCCCACAGACAGAAGAAATTCAATTCCATGCCAATCACACCCTTCGGTCACTAAAATACAAACAGAAAAATAAATGTTCACACACTATTAAGCAGTTCTTTCAGTTCCTAAAGGGTATTTGGTTTCAAAGGTAATAAGCTGTTTCTTATCTCCTTTCTATGGGTGAGCTCTGTCACTGGCACAAAGGTCCAAAGAGGTAGAGGGAAACAATGGGTAACACTAACTGAGCACTTACTATATGCCAGGCACTGTTCTAAGTGCTTACATGTATTAATTAATTTAATCCTCACAGCAATTCTGTGAGATACTCTTGTAAACTCTTTTTACATCCAAATAACAACTGACCTATACATCTGAAAAGTGTTCTCACTGGTGTTAAAAATGCCTTTTAAATAAACGTAGGCAATTTCAAACATTGTAGCTGGACTGTCCCAATGGTTGATATCTGTGTTCCATATTCATCTACTCATTGTGCATTTCTTGAGCACACACCAGGTGTTAAAGAGGATTCATTCTCTGCCCTTTAGGAATTGAGAAAGCAGTTGTGAAGATCAGACTAAACTACAAGAAATGATTCAAGAAATGAAATGCCCTATTATGAGGCACATTCTCTTTATACAACCATTCAGTTTGAAAAAAAAAAAAATAATCAATGACCTTTGGTAAAAAGGGAGAAAAGCTGCACATAAAAGGTACCATAAACCTAGATCTTTAAAAATAGGTTACATTGCCAAAGTAAGGAGAAAGGCTCTTTAGCTAAGAAAATAAGAACAAAAACATGGTGGAAGGGACGTAGTGTACCTAAGGTCCTTCATAATCTGATCCCACCCAGTTTTACTAGCCTTTGCTGTGGCCACTAATCTCCCTCCCACTTCCCATTAGCCAAACCAAACTTCTTACTTCTAGGACATACAATCTCTAATAGTTCCACTGTTTCTCCTACTATATTACCCCTTTTCCTTGGTAGGTAACTAATCCTAGTATACAGTAGGTACTCAATAAAATATAACTATTGTTGTAAATAACTTTTATTATTTAACTAGAGGCCTGATGCATGAAATTCATGCACTGGGTTGGGGAGGGGGGGGCGGTCCCTCAGCCCAACCTGTGACCTCTCACAGACTGGGAGCCCTCAGGGTATGTCCGACTGACCAGGAGGCGGGAGAGGCTCCCACCACCACCACTGTGCTCACCAGCCATGAGCCCAGCTCAGGGCTTCTGGGTGAGCAGCGCTCCCCCTGCGGGAGCGCACTGACCACCAGGGGGCAGCTCCTGCATTGAATGTCTGCCCCCTGGTGGTCAGTTCGCATCATAGCGACCGGTCATTCTGCCACTCAGTCTATTTGCATATTAGCCTTTTATTATATAGGATATCCACTTGAAACATTTTTCTGAAGCCTTTTCTAATTCCCCAGTTAATCTACTCAGTGCCTCTCCACCACACTCACATGGCATTTGTCCATTTCTCTGTTAGAATGGTAAAACATTTTATTGTCCCCAGGTTTCCTTTTTTCTTTCTCTTCCTTGTCTGAACAGGAAACATCTTTTATACAATTTGATATCCCCTGAAACCGAGCACAGTGTCTGTCTGGCACATAATAGGTACCTGTTATGTACTTGTTCACTGAAGACCCAACTGACTTGAATTTACAAAACGAAAGAATTCTTCTAAATAGTCAATTCCTTTAGTACATTTAAACAATTCAGTGTGTCAAAAATCTAACCCACTTTTACATTTTCATGAATACCAGTATGTCTGCTACATAATTATACCAACAATTCATGCGCAACAAAGTCAAAGTAGATTCGCTAAAAACTACCAGCTGTCTACTTTTTGCTTTACAACAAAACAAGATCCTCATCCAGGCCAACTGAGATAGGAGAAATTAACAGAATTGATCACGTAGGTATTGTGCTGTGACCTTTCTCACTGAAACAGTGCCACAGTTCTGAATGTAATATGCATGTTTAAATAGGTATTTATATTGGCTTTAGTTGAGGTTACAAATTTAGAAGTTCAATCATAAATCCAAAGTTTATTTATAGAAACTTTCCATATGGTAAGAGTTTAAGAAGTAAAACATCAGCCTTTTTCTCTGCCGAAAGCAGAAGGTAGCGGAGTGCCAAAGGAGCAAACCCTCTCTTGACTCTGTTCTTGGCTCTGCTTAAAGCAGAAGAAATAGGCTTGGAAAGCAGGAGCCTCACTAAAAATCACTTACCCATGACAATGGGCATTTTCAATGTTTGTGCTATGCAAGACTTAAGTATTAATTTCATACATGCCCATGTTCATTTGAAGCACAATTTGTGGCTTGGACTTAAACAATGTTCTAATGTGCTAGTTTGTCCACATTATTAATCCAGTCAGCCAGGTTTGAACATGCCAAGCTTAAAATACTCTAGATCATTATGCAAAGGTATGAGCTCAATCCTTTATTCTCAGGAAAAGGAACTTAGGGAAGAATGACTAAAGCAATAGTATTTCAACAGTATTTCTAATACAAAAAATCAACTCTTAAATAGTGATGAGTAAATTTTTTAAAATACCTAAATGGAAATAAGAATCAAGCTAATAACAGATTTCTTATAATTATTAATCTCAAAATGAGATCCTACATTTTTAGGTCAAAGTTGTCATAGAATGTATTTTGAAACTGATTTCAAAAATTTTTTACATGAGACCATCTTATAAAAAGGTTGTTTGTTTTAGCCCAGCCAGTGTGGCTAAGAGGTTGAACATCGACCCATGAACCAAGATGTCACTGTCCAATTCCCAGACAGGGCACATGCCTGGGTTGCAGGCTCGATCCCCAGTAGGGGGCATGCAAGAGGCAGTAGACAGATGATTCTCTCTCATCATTGATGTTTCAATCTCTCTCCTTCTCCTCCCTTCCAAAGAAGTTATATGCATATATGCATAACCATGGACACAGACAATAGTGTGGTAGGCCTGGGGGTGGGGGGGCAAGTGCGGGGTGGAGAGGGTCAATGGGGGGAAATGGGGGACTTCGGTAATACTTTCAACAATAAAGATAAATTTTTAAACATTAGATGTGTGTGCCCTGAAGATTTAGAAATGCTGTCCCTTAAAAACTTGGGTAGCAGGCCCTGGCTGGGTACCTCAGTTGGTTAGAACATTGCCAGATACAGAAAGGTGTGGGTTCGATCCCAGTTTAGGAGAGATGCAAAGAATAAAAGGAAAATAATAAAAAAATGGAATAGAAGGGGGGAAAGGAAGAAAGATAATTAATACAAAGTTTTGACTCTGTTATCGAAAAAAGGAGAAAAAACAATTCTCAAATTGAACTGTGGTTTTTAAGCAATCAACAGCATATGATTACGTATCTCCTCAAACTGAACACCTATGAAAAAAAATCTCAATCTCATTTTGCCTGAATCCTCTACTTGTTCCTTCACTTCCAAAGAGAATAGCATTAAGTGAACTGGGCCCCCTGGAGAAAATAGGGGTCAGAAATGTCAGTCCATGTAGCCTGTCAAAGTACTGGTGCTGGCTGGAGCTATTAGAGAGTCTCAAAAGTAGAGTCAAGAGAGACCACTGTGTTCCCAAACATGTCCCTACCACTTCTAAAAGAGACTGGAAACTTGCAAGGAACAATATACTCTGCTCCCTTTCACATCCACAAAACCTTTCCTTTCTGATTATCAATTTAACTTGTATAGAGATTTTAAAGAACAGTTAACATAACATTGATTAAGATGACAAGGGTTTGAAAAGGGAGGCAATACCATATACTGTATATTATAGATGAAGGAAGGGAATAAGGAAGACATATGTAGTCCTACTGTCAATCCAGCTGCAGCATTCGACTTAACATGCTTGGTAAGGTACTAGAATATACATAATACTTCACAAATCAAACACTAAAATGTTGTGACCCAACCATAAAATTATTTTCATTGCTACTTCATAACTGTAATGTTGCTACTGTTCAATCGTAATGTAAATATCTGATACGCAGAATGGTCTTAGGCGACCCCTGTGAAAGGGTCGGTCGACCGCCAAAGGGGTCACGACCCACAGGTTGAGAACTGCTGCTCTAGTATAAGTGGAGTCCTAGGAGAAGTGGCCCATTTGTCTATCAGTGGTCTAAATAAAAGAGACAGAGAGAAAGAGAGACACATCAATTTGAGAGTGAAACATCAACCAGTTGCCTCCCGCACTCGCCCCAATCTGTGATTAAACCTGCAACCTGGGTATGTGCCTTAACTGGGTATGTGCCTTAACTGGGTATGTGCCTTAACTGAGCCACACCAGCCAGGGCCCACACATTGCCAGTTTAATCAAAACACTCTAATTTCTGGAAGAACCTACTATTCACAGCACTTTGGGCTCTTTTAAATCTTAAGAACTGTCAACAATGCTCAAAAGTTCTTGCTTAACTATCTAAGGCACTTGCTTTTCTTTTTCTTGGTTTTGGGTTCAACATTCTTTAGATGACAGCAAGCTGGTCTCTGGATAACCAAAGTATTAACATAGGCATTTTCATGTCTATGTCTACCTGCATTTAAGCAGAGCTTGCAGATAAAAATAAACACATTAAAGTTTTCACTTCTCAAAAACACAACAAAGATGATAAAATTAAAAATACTTTTTTAGTAGTCCACAATAATTTATTATTCAACTGTGAACAGTGCCTGGAACATGACAGACACTTAATACTTTTTGAAGTAATGGTTTAAGAAGATAATATGGCTCAGTGGTTGAGCGTCAACCCATGAACCAGAAGGTCACAGTTCGATTCCCGTCAGGGCACATACCAGGTTTTAAGCTCAATCCCCAGTAGGGGGCATACAGCAGGTAGCCAATAGATGATTCCCTCTCATCCTTAATGTTTCTATCTCTCTCCCCCTCTCCCTTCCTCTCTTTGAAATCAATAAGAATATATTTTTCAAAAAAGAAGAAGATAATATGGCAGCAGAGAAAAGGTGTTTGTTTTGGAGTCAGATCTGGACTTGTAACTCATTTCCTATCTTTACTAGGTGTACCAGTTAATAATGGCAGATCTTGTAATCAAAGAAAACACAATAA